TGTTGTCAGAGAAGATGCTCAATATTATTTCAATTTTTTTTTAATGTTTTAAGACTTGTTTTGTGGCCTAACACATGGCCTATCCTCAAGAATGATCCAGTGTGTTGGGGAGAAGAATGTGTATTCTGCAGCCATTGGATGAAATGTTCTGTAAATATTAGCTCCATTTGGTCTACAGTACAAATTAATTCCAATGTTTGTTGATTTTCTGTCTGGAAGGTCTGTCCAAAGCTGAAAGTGGGATACTAAAGCCTCCAGCTATTATTGAATTAGGGTCTATATTTCTCTTTAGCTCTAATAATATTTGCTTTATATATCTGGGTAATACACTGTTGGGTAAATATATATTTACAACTATGATATCTTCCTACTAAATTGACACCTTTATCATTATATAATGACCTTTGTCTCTTACAGTTTTTGCTTGAAATCTATTTGGTCTGATATAAGTATAGCTATTCCTGCTCTTTTTTGGTTTATACTGGCATGGAGTATCTTTTTCCATTTATTTTCAGTCTATATGTCTCTTTATAGATGAAGCATTTCTTGTATACAACAGAGAGTGGCTCTGATTTTTATATTCTTTCAGCTACTTTATGTATTTTGATTAGAGAGTTTAGTCCATTCACATTCAGTGTTATTACCAATAAGTAAGGACTTACTCCTGCCATTTTGTTATTGGTTCCCTGGTTATTTTGTGGTCTTCTTTTCCTTCCTTCATTCCTTCTTGTTTTCCTTGTAGTGAAGGTGATTTTCTCTTACCTTCTTCTCCTAAAATAAAAGAATATTTTATTTCTTCCTTTTTATTTTTTGTGTAGCCATTGTATAGTTTTCGACTTGAGGTTACAATGAATGTTGCAAATACTATCTTATAACCCATTATTTTAACTGGATTAACTACACTGCTTGCATAAATAAGCAAAAAGAAAACTGATAAAAATTATATAACTTTGTCCAGCCTCTTTTTAACTTTTTATTGTTTATATCTTGTTGTACTATGTCTTGAAAACTTTTTATAGTTATTTTTTGATTGGCTCGTCTTTAAGTCTTTCTACTTAAGAGTAGTTTGTATACTGCTGCTATGGTATTACAATATTGTATGTCATACTGTGTACTTACTATTGCCAATGAGTTTTGTACCTTCAGATGATTTCTTATTACTAATATCCTTTTTCTGATTGAAGTATTCCATTTATGCCTTCTTATAGGATAGGTATGGTGTTGATGAAATCTCTAGCTTTTGTTTGTCTGTCAAAGCATTTCTCCTTATTCCAGGGCAAAAGTTTGTTCTTGTGTTTTCCTTCAGCACTCTAAGTATGTCATGCCACTATCTCCTAGCCTGTAAAGTTTCCACTGAAAAGTCTGCTGCCAGCATATTGAAGCTCCATTGTATGTTGTTTGTTTCCTTTCTCTTGCTGCTTTTAGGATCCTTTCTTTATCCTTGATCCTCAGGAGCTTTGTCAGTGCCTTTAGGTTGTCTTTTTTGGGTGAAACCTGCTAGGTGTTCTACAACTTTCTCATAGTTGAATATTGTTATCTTTTGCTAGGTTTGAAAAGTTCTCTGTTATTTTCCCTTTGAACAAACTTTGTACTCCTGTCTCTTTCACTAACTCCTCTTTAAGGCCAGTAAGTCCTAGATTTTCCCTTTTGAGGCTATTTTAACAATCTTGTAGGCATGCTTCATTGTTTTTTATTCTTTTGTCTCCTCTGACTGTTTTTTGGTTTTTTTGGTTTTTTTTTTCCAAAATGGATTCTCACTCTGTCACCAGGCTGGAGTGCAGTGGTGCGATCTTGGCTCATAGCAACCTTCGCCTCCCGGGGTCAAGCTATTCCCCTGCCTCAGCCTCCCAAGTAGATGGGATCACAGGCATGTACCACCACGCCTGGCTAATGTTTATATTTTTAGTAGAGACAGGGTTCCACCATATTGGCCAGACTCATCTCGAATTCCTGACCTTAGGTGATCCTCCCACCTCAGTCTCCTAAAAGTGCTGGGATTACAGGCATGAGCCACCACACCTGCCCTGACTGTGTATTTTCAAATAGCCTGACTTCAAGCTCACTAATACCTTCTTCTGCTTGATCAATTCTGCTATGAGGCGACGCCAATACATTTTTCATTCCATAATTTCTGCTCAATTGTTTTTTATTTTTTCAATCACTTTATCAAATTTCTCTGATAGAATTCTGAAATCCTCCTCCATGTTATCTTGAATTTCTTTCAGTTTCCTCAAAACTAAAAAAAAAAAATTTAGAATTCTCTGTCTGAAAGACTACATATCTGTTTCTGCAGTATTGATCCCAGGTGCCTTATTTAGTTTGTTTGATGAAGTCATGTTTTCTTGGTGTATTAGCCTGTTTTCATACTTCTATAAGGAACTGCTCAAGACTGAGTAACAAAAGAAAGAGATTTAACTGACTCACAGCTCAGCATGGCTGGGGAGGCCTCTGGAAACTAACAATCATGGTGGAAGGTGAAGGGAAAGCAAGGCACCTTCTTCACAAGGCGGCAGGAAGGAGAAGTGCCGAGCGAAGAGGGAAAAAGTGCCTTACAAAACCATCAGATTTCATGAGAACTCACTCACTATCATGAGAACGGCATGGGGGAAACCACCCCCATGATTCAATTACCTCCACCTGGTCTCTCCTTTGACATGTGGAGATTATGGGGATTATAATTCAAGATGAGTCTGGCTTGGGGACACAAAGCGTAACCTATAACTTGGATAGCCTTGATCCTTTGGATGTTTGCTGGTGTCTGGGAATTCAAAAGTTAGATATTTATTTTAGTCTTTGCAGGCTGGGCTTGTTTGTACCCAATCTCCTTGAGAAGATGGGTACAAAGATGCTGGGGCAGTAGGATTGATTCAGCCCAAAACTTCCAGGTATTTGAAAGGACTTGGGTGTTGTGATCTAGTCCATATCTGCATTAGTGGGCACCCCAAGCCCAGTAACACTGGGGTTCTTGAAGACTTCTAGAACTAATTCCTGGGCAGTCTTGGATAAGATCCTGAAGAATTCTCTGGATTACCAGGCAGAGACTCTTGTCCTCTTTCCTTTCTTCCAAACAGAGTCTCTCTCTCTTTGCTGAGCCTTCTGGAGCTGGGGATAGAATGACAAATGCACCCCTGTGGCCATGACCACTGGGACTATGCTGGGTCAGAACTGACACCAGTATATCCCTGAGTCTCACACAAGGCCCACTGTAACCACTATCTGGCTACCACCTATGTTTGCTCAAAGCCCTAGGGCTCTGCAAAGAGCAGATTGTGAAGCCAGTCAGGCTTGTGTCATTCCCTTCAGGGTAGCAGGATTCCTCAGGCCCTGGGTGGGTCCAGAGATGCCATCTAGGTGCCAGGGAGTAGAGTAAAAAACCTTAGAAATCCACCTGGTGTTCTAGTCTACTGCAGCTGAGCTGGCACTCAAACCACCAGACACAGTCCTTCCCACTCTTCCCTTCCCTTTCTACAGGCAAAACAGTCTCTCCCTGTGGTCACCACCACAGTCCTATAGGGAACACTACCAAGCCACTGCCAATGTTCCTTAAGGCCCAAGGGCTCTTCAGTCAGCTTGTCACAAATGTTGCCAGGCCTGAGACTCACTTTTCAGGGCAGTGGGCTTCCCTCTGGCCCAGAGCAGGTCTAGAAATGCCAACTAAGAGCCAAGGCCTGGAATCAATGACCCCACAAGCTGCTTGGTGTTCTATCTCATTGTGGATGAGCTGGTACCTAAGGTGTAAGACAAATTACCCTTTACTTTTCCCTCTGCTTTTCTCATGCAGGTGTTTCACAGCCACCACAGCTGGGGATGCACTGGGTTTCACCTGAATCCAGCACATCTCAGATTCTCCGCCAGAACCCACAGTGTACCATCTGGGTATTGCTGCTGGTTATTTAGGACCCTCTTCAATCAGTAGGTAATAGATCCTGCCAGGACTGCATCCTTGCCTTTAAGGCACCATGTTCGTTTCTAGCCCAGGATGTGTCCAGAAATGTCATCCAGGAGCTAGGGCCTAGAATAAGGGTCTCATAAATCTAACTAGTGCCCTATACTACTGTGGCTGAGTTGGTGTCCAAGATGCAAGACAAAGACTTCTTTACTCTTTCTTCTCTCCTCCTCAAGCAGACAGAAGGGGTTCCTTTCAGAGTCATGAGCTGTGCTGCCTAGGGTTGGGAGAGCAGTGGCACAAATACCCCATGAGCTGCCCTGGCTGGTGTCTCAGGAGGTCACATGCCACCCAAGTCCACTGGCTCTGAGCCCAACTCAGCACTAGGGCTCGCCTAGGAGTTGAAGTCATTGTGGCCTAGACTATCTTTTAAGTTTATATAGAGCCCCAGAATCCTGTGGTGACGAGGCTTGCCCAAACTCAGGTTCCAACCTCTGAGATGGGTGATTGTCCTCTGGACAGGTCTGGTCTAAATGCTCTTTCTGTGGGCAGGCATCAGATACATTCGGCCCGGTTTTGCTCTCTGCTATGACAGGGCAAGACTGAGTTCAATGCAAAGTCCAACAGTCACTGCATTCTCCCTCCCCCAAGTGCACAATTCTCTCTCCATGTCACATGGCCACTGCTAGGACATCAGGGAAGGGTGGCATTGGTAATTTAAGACTATCTTTCCTACCCTCTTCAGTGCCTCTTTCGGCCATTTGAAGTTAAAACCAGGTACTGTGAGTGCTCACCTGATTTCTGATTCTTATGTATGTGTTTTTTTGTGTGTGTAGATAGTTGTTAAATTTGGAGTTCCCACAGGGTAAAGTCTTCCATTTGGCCATCTTGCTGTGCCTTCTCCCTAGATTTTTAAATAAATTATAAAGCTGACTTTTAGATGTTCTATTTATTTAATTTTCTCATGATGAAAATATTAGCGAGTTATCAATGAATAAAGTCTTGGGAAAAGGAATAAAAAGGGTAACATTCTTAAAAGAAATTGAAACTAAAATATCAAGAATTAGATAATTTTACAATTCCTCTGTTAAGTATTTATTTTCTGAAAATTTACCTTCTCTTCTCTCTGCCACACATCTATTCAATTCTTGTATTGCTTCCTTATCAATAGATATATGTACTTTAAGTTCATCTAATTCTTCTTCAAGATTCATCCTATGAAAAAGCAATAAACATTTACTTAAAACCATATTGTTTTATTTAAAAAACGATATATCAAACATATATATTTAAATACATTTTAAATAATATATCAAACCAAGTCAGTAAAGATATTTTAAAGTATATAAAATGGAGAATAGTAAAATGAAAGCAAAAATACATCAATAATATTCACAGGCTGGGCACGGTGGCTCATACCTGTAATCCCAGAATTTTAGAGAGCCAAGGCAAGAGGATCACTTGAGACCAGAAGTTCAAGACCAGCCTGGGTAACACAGAGAGACCCTGTCTTTACAATAACAACAACAACAACAACAACAACAACAACAACAACTAGCCCATCACGGTTATGCACACCTATAGTCCTAGCTACTTGGGATGCTGAGGCAGTAGGATTGATTCAGCCCAAGACTTCACGGTTACAGTAAGCTATAATTTCATTGCTGTACTACAGCCTGGGCAAAAAATTGAGCCCTTGTCTCCATAAAACAAACAAAAATAATAATAATATGCACAAATCCTAAAAATTACAATTGAATTTACTGAGGACCTAGAAAATCAAATATTTTAAGTAAGTTATTTCTGTTAACTTTATCTCAATAAACATGCTAAACACTTAAAATACAGACTATATAATTTTAAAAATTATGTATTGAATTGCTCAACCACTTCTTGGTTGTTCTTAGACAAAGTCTCACTCTGTCACCCAGGCTGAAGTGCAGTGGCACAATCATGGCTTACTGCAGCCCCTACCTCCCAGGCTCAGGTGATCCTCAGGTCAGCCTCCCAAGTAGTTGGGAGTACAGGTGTGTGCCACCATGCCCAGCTAATTTTTTGTACAGTCGGGGTTTTACCAAGTTGCATAGGCTGAAATACTAGACTCAAACAACCTATTCGTCTTGGCCTCCCAAAATGCTGGGATCACAGGCATGAGCCACCACACCCACCCTGCTCAACCACGTCCTAACTCACAGATATTCTAGGCAAAATAGTAATGAAAAATGTTAATACATAACACTGAAAACAAGAATGGTAAATTCCTAGATGCCAAATAAAGGCAAAAAGACTTCCCAGTAAAACAGAACTGAGCTACCCTGGTGAGTATTTGACCAGGATCAAATACTGCCCATGGGGACCTCAGAATGTGAGACCTGAGTAGGGATGGTGTATTAGTCTATTGTCACTTTGCTATAAAAAAACCTCCTGAGACTAGGTAATTTATAAAGAAAAGAGGTTCAATTGACCACAGTTCCACAGGCTGCACAGGAAGCATGGCTGAGGAGGCCTCATGAAACTTACATTCATGGCAGACGGGAAACAGGAAGCAGGCACGTCTTACGTGGCTAGAGCAGGAGGAAGAGAGCACAGGCGGAGGTGCTACACACTTTTAAACAACCAGATCTTACGAGAACTCATTCATTATCACCGGAACAGCAAGGGGGAAGTCCGCCCACATGATCCAGTCACTTCTCACCAGATCCCTCCTCCACCACTGGGGATTACAATGCGACATGAAATTTGGGCAGGGACACAAATCCAAACCATATCAGATGGACATTTAGACCCATGGCCGTACCTGGCTGACAGACAAAAATGAGCTAACTACAGGAAACTGGGAGATAACAATCTGCTGATTGAAAACCTGAATATCTGAGCTTATCTGGTTAGAGTTTCATTAAAATAGTTCTCCAGCCCTCGTATGGGGACAGGACAGAGTCAACCACACGATATCAGAATCCCAAGCCAAAATCAATAGGTTCAAAACTGAGCCATATAATTTGCAGAAACATGAACAATAAAAAATAATATAAAAACTGGACATACGGCCAGAGTATACTGGAGGGTTCAGGAAGACACCATCATCCCTAAAGGGAGGCTTCCACAACCTAAGAAAATGTATGGGAGAAAAGACACTACAGAAAATAATTCTCAAGTCGAGCATGAAGACAATAATGAGTATATAAACAAGTTCAAAGCCATGAATGACAATCTAAATATCCTACTGCCCAAAATAGGATAATATACAACAATAAAATGGAGATAACAGAACAATCAAAATTACTTTCATTATTAAAGTTTTTTAAATGTTTTAAAAAAGATAAACAAGTGATAAACATATGTTAAAAAAGAACAGGGGTTTATAAAACGGAAAATAGATAAAAAGAATCAAATAATATATCTAAAAATACAAAATAAAGCAATGAAAATTGATAATAATAACATAATACTAGAAATTTAAACTCAATGGATGGGTTCAACAGCAAGTAGAAACAGCTAATGCAAATTGATAAAATGGAAGACAGCAGAAGGAGGTAAAGGAAGGAAAACAGTAGAGGTATACAAAATATGTTGGAATAAGAAGTATAGAAAGCATTTAATAGAAATTATTCAAGGAGAGAACTGAAAGACTGGGGGAAGGAGTATAGATGGGAGATGACAGTCAAAATATTAATACCTCAGGATTTGACAACTGATGAAGACATGAATTAACAGATTGAAATAGCATCAAAAAACGGCAAGGAGAGTAAATAAAACTGTTCACACTTAGAAATATCATAGTGAAACTTCAGGACACCAAAGATAGAGACAATCTTTAAATCAACCAGATTGAGAAGAAAACATTTCTAACAACTTAAGGTCTCTACAATAACAGCAGAGTTCTCCTATCAACAAGAAAAGTCAGAAGGAAAATAGCTAATATCTTTCACATGCCAAGGTTTACTACTCATAGATCCTAGATGAAAAAATCATTAACATATTTTAAGAAGAAAATAAACACAAAAGCAAGGTATAGAACAAAATAAGCAGTGATGAAGAAAGACACTAACAAATATATACAAGGAATTAAATAAACATTTATTATCTAAAGTGATCATAACAATATCTGAATGAAGACAGCTAAAATAAGGTAGAAATAACATTCTCAACAACAAAATGATATTGGATCGTCAAAGAGATCAGAGTTAAACATTTTAAGGTCCTTGTAGGAGGATACAGCTAGTGATAAACTTTAGACTTTGTCAAATAAATGATGTGTTATAATTTCAAGAATAATTATTTAAAGAATGAAAAACAAATATAAAAAAATAAAAATTAGAGGAGGTCAGAAGAGAAATGAAAAAAAAACTGTATCAAATCAAAGGCAAGAAAGTCATTTTTAAAAAGGAGCATAAGTCAAAACCACAATGAGATACCATCTCACGCCAGTTAGAATGGTGATCATTAAAAAGTCGGGAAACAACAGATGCTGGAGAGGATGTGGAGAAATAGGAATGTTCTTATACTGTTGGTGGAAGTATAAATTAGTTCAACCATTGTGGAAGACAGTGTGACCATTCCTCAAGGATCTAGAACCAGAAGTACCAGTTAACCCAGCAATCCCATTACTGGGTACACCCAAAGGATTATAAATCATTCTACTATAAAGATACATGCACATGTATGTTTATTGCAGCACTGGTTCACAATGGCAAAGCCTTGGAACCAACTCATATGCCCATCAGTGATAGACTGGATAAAGAAAATGTGGCATATATATACCATGGAATACTATGCAGCCATAAAAAATAGGATGAGTTCATGTCCTTTGCAGGGACATGGATGAAGCGGGAAACCATCATTTTCAGCAAACTAACACAAGAACAGAAAACCAAATACCACATTTTCTCCACTCATAAGTGGGAGCTGAACAATGAGAACATATGGACATAGAAAGGGGAACATCACACACTGGGGCCTGTTGGGGGATGGGGAACTAGGGGAGGGATAGCATTAGGAGAAATACTCAACATAGATGATGGGTTGATGGGTGCAGAAAACCACCATGGCACGTGTATACCTATGTAACAAACTTGCATATTCTGCACATGTATCCCAGAACTTAAAGTATAATTTAAAAAAAACAGGAGCATAAGAAAATAAAATGTACAGGAAAAAATTAAAAATAAAGATAGTCATTACACAATGATCAAAGGAATGATTTACCAGGAAAATAAATTAGTTCTAGACTTTTATGTACTCAACAACTGAGTTGTTGTAATCATTGGTATAATTAATAAAACAATAAAAAGTTATTTAAAGTAAAAATTAGGTGGTCTCTCCTTCCCCTCACTAAGTATGCTTCTTGGAAAAAAAAATAATGTTTATACTTTGATGTGTATACTTTCATTTTTTGTTCATATATTATAAACATCAATTCACACACATAAGGATTTTAAAAACTGGGATCTTATGATATATATTGGCAGCTTACCAGGTCCATTACAGATTGATAGGAGGAACACATACACATGCACACACATACACTCAACCACACAATGATTAAGCTTGGATTAGGGTCCTGATTTGTTATTTAAGAACGTGGAACATACTGAAGCAAGATGGCCCCACAAAGAAAAAGCAGGTGTAACTTAACTCAACTTAGTTTTCCTTGGCTCTCAGATCACTAACCCAACAGAAGGTAATGCTACAGTTGTTGGAAAAGTTATTTCTTGCTTCTTAAAAGATACTTTACACTTACAGCTTATTTCTTTTGGAAAGAACACACACAGTCCCTACTTTTAATAAATATGTATAGACCTCAGGAACCACCTTGTTCTTGAGTCAAAATAAGCACCAGCAAACCACATCTTAGTGGGTGCTTGCGGGAGGAACTGACAGAGGCAGAGCCCTGGTACCCCTGACCAGGATGAGCGTTGGCTATCTACTGACTCTGATTTACTATTCACTTACATTGGTGTTTCTTATACTGTGGTATGAGGACCACAATTTAAAATCTATTTCTTACTGGACAAATGATAGGAAACAACTGTATGCAGACACTGGACAATAGGCAGCACAGAATTGTAACCCCTGAGAGAAAGTAAATAAACAGAGCCCTTAATGATAGCTCGATTTCTGCCTGGAAGCACCTTCCAGACAGGGAGAGGGGTCCCAAGAAGAACATGACAGTCTCATTGAGTTGAAACAAGAGACTGGAGTTTAGGAAGTCTAAA